CCCCCCCCCCCCCCAAAAAAACCCCATGGGTGCAAGCACTGCCTCCGCTTCACCAACTGCAAGACATTCTGGACTATGTGCTCACTCCACCTCATGGTGTTGGAGCCACAGCAATGTACACAACCATGAACTGGTTCTGAATCAGTGACATTTGGGAATGGTTCTATTGTTGCATGTGCCTGAACCCTGTCCTGCAACAATTATGAACCAGTTCCCAATCATTGACAATTTGGGACAGTTCAACTGTTACATGTGTCCTCACCCCCTATATGTGGGGAAAAAAAGAAAGAAGAGTTTGTCAGAAATTCCATGAAAGGAATCTTACAAAAATGTTGCCCTACCAGGGCTCCCTTTGCAGACTTTCCTTGTAGGAATTTTGAAAGAAAGATATTTTTCCCTGTGTTATCTGCCTCACTGGTTCCGGTGCAAGACGCGTGGGTGTAAGCCTGCTGCACCCATGTGAGCCCATGGACCCCAGCAGCAACCCCAGGACCCCTGATGAGCCTCAGCCTGCCAGCAGGTAAGCAGGGGATGGTGGAGGGAGGGACCTAGTCAGCTGGGAGCGGGCTAAGTGGGCTGAGGAAGGTCACACCTCCCCCGGCTCCTCCTTGGCCCAGCCTCTCAGGGAGCCACGTGACCCCCCTGCAGGTATATGTGCCAGGCTAGGACAAAGTCACCCACCTGTTTCTTCCCTCAGTGGAGGGGATGGACCCCCCTTTAGCCCCCCAAAAGCACTGAGGCACCGGCTGGCCCTTCTGCACATGTGTGCAGTTTAAAAAGGGCCCAACAACAGCATAAGCCACATTAGAGTCCTGGCTCTGGTGCGAGATGCGCAGGTGTAAGTCCACTGTGCCCCCATGAGCGCAGGGACCCCAGCAGCAACCCCAGGACCCCTGACGAGCCCTGACCTGCCAGAAGTTAAGCAGGGGCCCGTGGAAGAAGGGATCTAGTCAGCTGGGAGTGGGCTAAGTGGGCCGAGGAGGGTTACACCCCCCCCAGCTCCTACTTTGCCCAGCCCCCCGGGGAGCCGCGTGACCGGAGCCTCATGAACAGGCCGCGCAAACAGGCATGCTCCTGGGCACGGCACATGAGTTAGTACAGGAGTTTGCACAGGAGGGCGAGCGGGAGGGCCCAAGGTCCTGCCTGTGAATCCCCCAGAGTAGACAGTCCCAGCCATAGACTGGCACCTCATACACCGCCACCCAGACGGAGCCCGTGGTTCCAGGCTTCATGCAGACAGAGCCTCTTGCTCTTGGCCACGGGGCTGCCAGTCCCCTTTTCAGGCTCTGGGGCCCGGGAGCATGGCCACCTCCCCTTGTGGGGTCTGATCCCCACTGGGGTCTCTGGCGCACCAGCTGGAGGAGCTCCAGGCCACAGTCCAGAGACTGCATGCCATCAGGGACTGTGAGCGGGAGATTGACTCCTACTGCCAGGCCCTTCTCCCCTGGGAGGCAGAGGGTAGACCACAGTCTCCCTCCAGGACAAGGGAGGACCTGGGGACCTCCCATTCTGTCCAGCCATGGAGTTGGACCAAGGTGGTCAAGGGTCCCAGGGCCCGCCGCACCAAGGCCCCTGCCCCGCCAGAGCTTTGCAACAAGTATGAGCCTCCTGCAGCCCCAGCAGAGCCTGCTGAGTTGCCAGCTCCCGCAGGCAACACAGAGGACACTGTAGCTACTGTCCCCGGTCTCCCCAAGACCAAACACAAAGTGTTCATCATGGGAGACTCCATCCTGAGGGGGACTGAGGGGGTAATCTGCCGCCTTGACCCCTTAGCCCAGGAAGTTTGCTGCTTCCCGGGGCCCGCATCCAAGACATTGTGGAGAAAATCCCTAAACTCCTCCAGCCCACAGACCACTATCCCATGCTCCTCATCCATGTGGGCACCAATGACATGGCTCAGAGTGTTCCTAGCCAGGTCATGAGGAGCTACAGGGATTTGGGTACAAATGCCAGGAGCCTACTCAATCATATTAATTCATGGTCTGAATGGCAAAAAAGTCACTTCGGGATCTGTGACAACTTCTGGCATGTAACGTACTTTTATTAATTCACTCTTAATGGAAAGGAGCATCTACTGTCTATTATATTTATTATTTGTAAAACCCACAGTGTGCCAGAAACACTCTGCACAAATAGGATTCTATTGCCCTGGAGAGTTTATATGCAAGCATACTATGCTACATATTAAAAGCCAAAAGCTGCCTGCTTTACTCATGCAAGTGTCTCATTGACTTCATTAGGACTTGTGAGCAGAGGTGTAACTAGCAGGGCTTGCACTGTGGGCAAAATCTTGCTAGAGAATGGGGGGGGAGGCAGGGTGTGGTACTGTGTTATGGGAGGGGGTGCCAAGTGCCAGGAAAGTAGTCTTACCTGGCCTGGGGACTGAAAAAAAATCCCTGGCTGATGCTGCCACGGTGCAGTCTCCCCACCCCAGTTGATGGTATTACAGTAGCAAGGTGGTGCTGCTACTGTTGCCACAGCACAGACTCCCATTCTGATACCCCACTAGGTTGGCACTTGGGACTCACCCATCCCAAATTAAGCTACTGCTTCTGAGATGATGAATTCAAGCAGGATTTGGGCAATTAGACAGGAACAGAAGCAGTATTTTTAAGAATAAAAAAAGAGTCCTGAATTATTTGAACAATGTAATAGGGTAACCACAAGCAACCTATTGTTACAATTGTATCAAATGGAACCAGATTATACCCAGGAAACAGACACATGAACAATACTAACATATGGTAGGATTTCCTCATCTTAGTGTGACATCACTCAACAAAATGCACATATAGAAGACAAGGGGAGATAAGGAGAATTATGAAAGACTAAAAGACTACTGGTTGTGCAAGAGTGATGTTGTAGCCACGATGGTCCAGGAATTATGTGAGAGGCAAGGATTGTTTTGGGTAATATCTTTTACTGGTTCAACTCTATAGTTGGAATAAAATTAGATACTTTTAAATGCAAACCATTTTTCTTCAGGTCATCCAAAGAATGTTTTGCATTTGAAAACTTGTCTAACTTTATCCCAGCTAAACACTTTATCCAGTAAAAGATATAATCCCAAAAAATCTTAGCCTCTCACAAAAAAAGCCTGCTGGCATTATTTATATCATGAGCAACAGTGGGATTAAGAAACAAAACCAGGACCAGGTGGCTTCAGCATTTCTAGTTGCCCAGAATTACAATTAGCTGCCCAGATAGATGGGAATAATCAGCATCCCATTTCCTCTCACTTACATAGCAGGGGAAACATCTCAGACTTCTACTTTATTCCATGGGCATTTTATATGAATTTAATAAAGAACATAACAACAATAAGTCAGATATACTGATGCACACTGGGTGACTTAAGGCACAGCTTTGAGCAGTGAGTGGAGTCTAAATTTCACCACAGCAAAAGTAATTCTCACTGACATAGACTCTGACACTGCACCAAAAAGAAACCTATTTCCCGCTTCCTCCTGGAGAGACAAAATCCCTTTCCTGCTTCTTCCCAGTGATTTGAAGGGGCTTCTAGAGAAGGTGGAGAAGGCGTAAGCAGTGGGATAGTTACACGTGTTCTTATATACTACGTCTCAAATTAGGCATAGCCCTAGAAGGGGAATATATTCAGTTATGGGGTACATGGTAAAGTTGAGAATCTAGGCTTTAAAATATATAAAGTTATTTTAAAATATATCAACATGCAAAGAAAGGATTGGGCTTTATTTTCTCCTCACAAAGCAAGCACACACCATTACCCGCAAAAGAAAACTTACGTTTTTATGATTCACACACTTCATGAGGACCAGCTCCCTGTAAGCTCGTTTGGCATGCGTTTGGTTCTGAAATGGTCTGCTGAGCTTCTTAATGGCCACATTTCTGTCAAGGACGGCATCATAAGCAGCGCTGTAGTGATTACAAACACAGGATGTGTGTGTTTTAGAGGAAATTCTTCAGCTTTAAAAGTGAATTGCAAGTCCCATTCAGGTGGTTTCTCTACTGATCAAGGACTGCAAAGGAGGGCATGGAAAGAAGAGTTGGCAAGAAAAACACCCACAGCCACATACACATAAAAAGCGAGAACTGTCTCGGTGGAAGAAGTACACCCCTGGAACTGTCAATTTCAACAGGAAAATAAGTTTTTACATGCAAAGATGGGGGAAACAACTGACACAGTTGCTTTTTCCGCACCATTAACAGAGTCCCATTCAGTAGCTCGCTGAAAGAACAAAGACCCAAGTCCCTATAAGAAGTTTTGTATTTTTCAGATGAAACTACCCCTCACTTGACCCTAGCCCTCATTTGTAAATGTGTTTTGTTCACATTGGGCACATCTCCATGTGCACTTTAATGCCCTAATGTGCATTAAAACAGGCTAATGTGCCTTTTTCTAGTACCTCACAATGGAGGTATTAAATTCAATGTGCATTAATGAATGTGTAGACATGCCCATTGAATCATCAGATTTGAAATCAGATCTCTAAGGGGAATTAAACAATTTCACAATAATATTTTCCACATGTATAATTTAAAGAAATAACTTGTAAATTTCACTTAAGCATGAACATTTAAAGAACTTGGAAAAAAAGAAGAGAAAGACTCTAGGGGTTTCTTTGCCCAAGTATAGATTTAGGAGACTAAGTTTATCTGTAAAAATGTTGACCATAATCTCTATACTTTTTGAAAGCTGACTCCTTCCACAAACACATTAAATATCAGTTCTCTGGACCCTTCCCAAGATCCTGTCACAACAGCCAGGCAAGAACCTGAGAAAAGGTATACTCTGAGATTCAATAGGTTTAGTCTGTTGCAGGGTTCAGTTAGATGATAGAGTGTTCAATTCTGAAATTGGTTTCCTCTGCTAGTGCAACAGACTAAACATATTGAATCTGGGTCTAATGATATTTGCTTCTACCTACCATTAGGGGCTGGTGAGCATTTGTTTGTTTTTTTTGCGGGGGAAACAAATTTAATTAATTCCCCTCCCATTCCTTCCAAATTGACATGCAGTTTTAGTTGTTCTGGAACTATTCATAGATTGTGGTCCAATTCCTTGAGTGGAAAATACATTTTTGGGCCACAATCATGTGAATACTGGAAGGGATTAGGGCAACTCATCTTCCTCTAACAACTGTATGACAAGGTTATCTGCCCAATATGTGGAAAACCCAGCTTCAATTCCATCCTCTGCCTGAGGGAACTGGAACCTGGCTCTCCCACCATAGTTCAGGACAGACTGCACTGAGGATGCTATCAATCTCTCTTCCTGATGCTGTGGCACTTTGTATTAATTCTTCAATGACCATGAAATCAGCAGTCTAGTGAGCCATTAGTTCTTTTGGCCTCAGCTTATATTTAAGTACTTTATTTTGACACCAATTTTGGTTTCTTTCCTCCCTCATTTTGGCGAACCAAACCAAAAGTGTTATACCTCCTTTTCATTGCAGAAAGGCAGGGTTGTTAGAGTATCTTGCTACAGATGCCACATTGAGCCTTTCTCCAGACCACTCCACCTAGCTATAAATGGATACTTTGTCATTCAGGCTAGGGGGTCAAAAGTAGCTGACATGACACTGGCCATACCACTTCCTTCTGTGCAGTTTCCTACAGAAACTCATGTGCCTTAACCTCATGAGCTCAATGGGTCACCTGACTGTTCTTGACTTTACTTTGCAGCTCTGGCTTAAAAGGTCCACAAGCAGGATCTAGAATCTCAGATCATTCTTGATAACTAACCAAATATCTATACTGCATTGAAATGGAAAGGTTTTCTTTAAAATAATCCTGGAAGAACTTTTTGTGCTATAACTTTATCAAACAATCATTCGTAACTCTGGCACACTTGTTAATGTTGAATAAGTGACACAAATGGAGTTTCTATTTAATACCTACAACAATTCCAAAAGCCTAGAATACAGCCTCTATCCCTATCCTGTAGCTCTGGAGTGCGGTTGGACTGATCATATGAAAAACAGCAGGAATAGGTATGCACATCTCGTGGGACCTCATGACATAAAGGAGTTCAACCTGATCTGTCAACAGCTGCTGCTTTAACCAAATAATCTTTTCCCCCTTTCACCAGACCCTTCAAACAATAAAATGTTAATAAGAATCCTTTTTCCTTCCCCTTTTTTCCATTTTATTATAGGTTTCTTTAAAAAAGGATTCAGTTTGGAAACAAGGAAAAAAAAAGCCAACCAGTATAAAATAAATAGTTGCTTCATATGGTTTCTCCCTTTTGTCAGAAGGTATTGAAGTACATCATGCATCCATTTACCATTTATTACTGTCCTACAGTCTGACATTTCAGAGGAAGTTAACTTAATGTATACAACCAAGCGTTCAGTGCTGCAAGTGGAGAAATTCCGAAGATGTACTGCATTCTAATACTGACTGAAACAATGCCGACTATGTTTTCCACTTAAGTGACCCAGAGTTTTAACAGAAATTATTGGCAGGATAGGGCAAGTTTTGATTAACTGCCCATCAAAAATAAATAAAAAGTGTTAACATAACTGTCAAAGATCAAAGTCTTTGATTTCAGATGCCGATGGCAAAAGATCACATGGCAAAAGATCACATGGCAAAAGATCAGAGGCTAACACAACAAACTCTGTAATTGTAGTCTCACACTATTATTTTTTAGTTTGTAACAGTGCTGTATATTCACACCCCTGTCTGTGCCTCATTTCAAATTACCTGAGCCTCTCATATGAGAGAGACACTAACCTTGAACAAATTGCAGCCTAGTACCGTGACGTCAAAAAGAGATACCGTACCTATAGTGACCAGATAAAAATGAAACTACTTTAGTGAAGTTGTAAAATTAAATAATATACTATGCTTGCCCTCTTGTGACCAAACAGGACCAGTACCACCCAAGCAAAAATATAGCCC